TTGATAGACATTTAGGTTGGTTCCACGTCCTGGCTATTGTAAATAGTGCTGCAGTGGAACACTGTAGTACATGACTCTTTTTGAATCATGGTTTTCTCAGGGTATATGCCCAGTAGTGGGATTGCTGGGTCATATGGTAGTTCTATTTTTAGTTTTTTAAGGAACCTCCATACTGTTCTCCATAGTGGCTGTATCAATTTACATTCCCACCAACAGTGCAAGAGGGTGCCCTTTTCACCACACCCTCTCCAGCATTTATTGTTTCCAGATTTTTTGATAATAACCATTCTGACTGGTGTGAGGTGATACCTCATTGTAGTTTTGATTTGCATTTCTCTAATAATTAGTGATGTTGAGCATCTTTTCATGTGCCTCTTGGCTATCTGTATGTCTTCCTTGGTGAAATTTAGACATTAAGGTCTTCGGCCCATTTTTTAACTGGATTGTTTGTTTTTTTGATATTGAACTCCATGAGCTGTTTGTATATTTTGGAGATTAATCCTTTGTCTGTTGTTTCATTTGCAAATATTTTATCCCATTCTGAGGGTTGTCTTTTTGTCTTGTTTATGGTTTCCTTTGCTGTACTAAAGCTTTTAAGTCCCATTTGTTTATTTTTGTTTTTATTTCCGTTACTCTAGGAGGTGGGTCAAAAAAGATCTTGCTGTGGTTTAGGTCAAAGAGTGTTTTTCCTATGTTTTCCTGTAAGAGTTATTGAAGAGGCTGTCTTTTCTCCATTGTATGTTCTTGCCTCCTTTGTCGTAAATTAGGTGACCATATGTGTGTGGGTTTATCTCTGGGCATTCTATCCTGTACCATTGATCTATATTTCTGTTTTTGTGCCAGTACCATACTGTCTTGATTACTGTAGGTTTGTGGTATAGTTTGAAGTTGGGGAGCCTGATTCCTCCAACTCTGTTTTTCTTTCTCAAGATTGCTTTGGCTATTTTGGCTCTTTTGTGTTTCCATACTAATTGTAAAATATTTTGTTCTAATTCTGTGAAGAATGCCCTTGGCAGTGTTTTGTTTTTTTGGGTTTTTTTTTGCGGTACGTGGGACTCTCACTGTTGTGGCCTCTCCCGTTGCAGAGCACAGGCTCCGGACGTGCAGGCTCAGCGGCCATGGCTCACGGGCCCAGCCGCTCCGCGGCACGTGGGATCTTCCCGGCTCGGGGCACGAACCCGTGTCCCCTGCATCGGCAGGGGGACTCTCAACCACTGAGCCACCAGGGAAGCCCCCCTTGGTAGTTTGATAGGGATTGCATTGAATCTGTAGATTGCTTTGGGTAGTATAGTCATTTTCACAATATTGATTCTTCCAGTCCAAGAACATGGTATATCTTTCCATCTGTTTATGTCATCTTTGATTTCTTTCATCAGTGTTTTATAGTTTTCTGAATAAAGTCTTTTGCCTCCTTAGGCAGGTTTATTCCTAGGTATTCTATTGTTTTTGTTGTAAGATTAGTTCTAGTAGTTTTCTGGTGGCATCTTTAGGATCTTCTATGTATAGTATCATGTCATCCACAAACAGTGACAGTTTTACTTCTTCTTTTCCAATTTGTATTCCTTTTATTTCTTTTTCTTCTCTGATTGCCGTGGCCATCAGTGGCCAAAACTATGTTGAATAATAGTGGCGAGAGTGAACATCCTTGTCTTATTCCTGATCTTAGTGGAAATGCTTTCAGTTTTTCACCATCGAGAATGATGTTTGCTGTGGGTTTGTCATATATGGCCTTTATTATGTTGAGGTAGTTTCCCTCTATGCCCATTTTCTGGAGAGTTTTTATAATAAATGGGTGTTCAATTTTGTCAGAAGTTTTTTCTGCATCTATTGAGATGATCATATGGTTTTTTATTCCTTAATTTGTTAATGTGGTGTATCACATTGATTGCTTTGAGTATATTGAAGAATCCTTGAATACCTGGGATAAATCTCACTTGATCATGTTGTATGATCCTTTTAATGTGTTATTGGATTCTGTTTGCTAGTATTTTGCTCAGGATTTTTGCATCTTTGTTCATCAGTGATACTGGTCTATAATTTTCTTTAATTAATTTATTTTTGGCTGCATTGGGTCTTCATTGCTGCACGTGGGCTTTCTCTAGTTGTGGCGAGTGGGGGCTACTCTTCATTGCAGTGCACAGGCTTCTCATTGTGGTGGCTTCTCTTATTGCGGAGCACAGGCTCTAGGAGCATAGGCTTCAGTAGTTGCAGCACGGGGGCTCAGTAGTTGTGGTGCACGGGCTTAGTTGCTCCACGGCATGTGAGATCTTCCCAGACCAGGGCTCGAACCCATGTCCCCTGTATTGGCAGGCAGATTCTAAACCACTGCGCCACCAGGGAAGTCCCTATAATTTTCTTTTTTGGTAATATCTTTTTCTGGTTTTGGTATCTGGGTGATGGTGACTTTGTAGAAGGAATTTGGGAGTGTTTCTCCCTCTGCAGTTTTTTGGAAGAGTTTGAGAAGGATCGGTGTTAGCTCTTTTCTAAATGTTTGATAGAATTCGCCTGTGAAGCCATCTCATCCTGGACTTTTTTGTTTGTTGGAAGATTTTTAATTATGGTTTCAATTTCATTACTTGTGATAGGTCTGCTTATATTTTCTAATTCTTCCTGGTTCAGTCTTGGAAAATTGAACCTTTCCAAGAATTTGTCCATTTCTTTGTGGTTGTCCATTTTATTGACATAGTTGTTTGTAGTAGTCTCTTATAATCCTTTGTATTTCTGCAGTGTCAGTTGTGATTCCTCCTTTTTCATTTGTAATTTTATTGATTTGCATCGTCTCCCTTTTTTTCTTGAGGAGTCTGGCTAATAGTTTATCAATTTTGTTTATCTTCACAAAGAACCAGCTTTTAGTTTTATTGATCTTTGCTATTGTTTTCTTCATTTCTATTTCTGCAGTTATTTCTGCTCTGATTTTTATGATTTCTTTCCTTCTACTGACTTTGGGTTTTCTTTGTTCTTCTTTCTCTAGTTGTTTTAAGTGTAGGGTTATATTGTTTATTTGAGAATTTTCTTGTTTCTTGAGGTGAGATTGAATTGCTATAAACTTCCCTCTTAGAACTGCTTTTGCTGCATCCCATAGGTTTTGGGTCATAGTGTTTTCATTGTCATTTGTTTCTATGTATTTTTTTATTTCTTCTTTGATTTCTTCAGTGATCTCTTGGTTATTTAGTAGCGCACTGTTTAGCCTCCATGTATTTGTGTTTTTTACACTTTCTTTCCTGTAATTGATTTCCAATCTCATAGCATTGTGGTCAGAAAAGATGCTTGATACGATTTCAATTTTCTTAAATTTTCCGAGGCTTGATTTGTGACCCAAGAGGTGATTTGTCCTGGAGAATGTTCCATGTGCACTTGAGAAGAAAGTGTATTCTGCCACTTTTGGGTGGAATGTTCTATAAATATCAATTAAATCTTCCTGTTGTGTCATTTAAAGCTTTGTATCCTTATATATTTTCTGTTTGGATGATCTATCCATTGGTGTAAGTGGGGTGTTAAAGTCCCCTACTGTTATTGTGTTACTGTTGATTTCTCCTTTCTTGGTTGTTAGTGTTTGCTTTATGTATTGAGGTGCTCCTATGTTGGGTACATATGTATTTATAATTGTTATATCTTCTCCTTGGATTGATCCTTTGATCATTATGTAGTGTCCCTCCTTATCTCTTGTAACAGTCTTTATTTTAAAGTCTATTTTATCAGATATGAGTACTGCTACTCCAGCTTTCTTTTGATGTGCATTTGCATGGAATATCTTTTCCCATCCCTTCACACCTTCAGTCTGTATGTGTCCCTAGGTCTGAAGTAGGTCGTGTAGACAGCATATATATGGGTCTTATTTTTGTAGCCATTCAGCCAATATGTGTCTTTTGGTTGGGGCACTTAATCCATTTTACATTCAAGGTTATTATTGATATGTATGTTCTTATTACCATTTTCTTAATTGTTTTGAGTTTGTTTTTGTAGGTCCTTTTCTTCTCTTGTGTTTCCCACTTAGAGAAGTTCCTTTAGCATATGTTGTAAAGCAGGTTTGTTGTGATGATTCACCTTTGTTGTAAGGCTTGGAGTAGTTATATATGTCATTTATAAAAAAATTGGAAAAGGCTCAGTGTCTAAAATATCAAAAAATTATTTTAAACATTAAGAAGACATAGACAAACATCCTACTGGTAAATGGCCAAAGATTCAGGCAGTTCACCTAGGAAGAATCTAAATGGCCGGTAAAGAAGTAAAAATATATTCTGTTTTCAGGGAGATGTAATTTAAAATAATGGTGACATACAAGTTCACATGATCTCGTTGGTCCAGATCCAAAAGATTGCCTTAGAATATGAAGCGTTGGCATGAATGTGGGGAAATGGAGTGAGCCTTTTCCTTGCTGGGGGAAGTGTAAACTGGTATGACTTCCTCGGAGAGTCTGACAATACAAAGTCAAGTTGCAGACGGGCCTACTGGTGACCTCGTTGTGTTAGAACCACTCTTGTGCCTGCTGTGGTGCCCTTTGTGAGTGAAACAGTGGGAAGAACCCAGCTGGGCTTCTATGCCTGTGATAACTCAGCTGTGATACAGTTGCATCCTATACAGCAGGTAAACCCAGTAGACTGAATCAACAGAGATAAATCTCAGAAACAGAATGTTGAGTCAAAGACGCTTGTGAAAACAAACAGGTACACAGCCTGGCTTGTTGCACGTGGTCGCTATTGGTTCTTAGGGGGCTGTTGATGCATCTTTTTCTCTCTAAAATTTAAAAGCTGGCACAGATTTTTAAAATAGTTTTAGTGTTGTAGTCTGATCATGTATATAAGAGCTCATTACATGCCAGCTACTGCTCTCTTGGAGCTCACAAATGAGGGATGATAGACTATAAACAAGTAGAAATTTAACTAGACAGTGTGAAGGAAGTCAAGCAGGGTCCTGGGAGGCGGGGGGCTGAGGGTGGTCAGGGAAGGCCTCTCTGAGGACCTGACTACTGAGCATAGACCTGCATTCTAAGAAGAGCAAGCATGTGGAAATTTGGGGCTAAAGCATTCCAGGCAGAGGTAAAAAGCCTGCAGATAGGACATGTTCAAAATTCCAAGAATAAAATACTTAGGAATAAGTCTAACAAAAGAAGTGCAAACATGTGCTTTGATAAATACAAAATATTAAAATAAATGAAAGAGAACGGAAATAAGTGGAAAGGCATCCCAGGTTCGTGGACTGGAAGATAATATTGTTAAAGTGGTGGTACTCCCCAGACTGATTCGTGGATTCAGTGCAATCCCTGTCAGAGTCACAGCTGACGTCTTTGCAGAAATTGACAAGCTGATCCTGAAAAATAGCAAGGCCAGTGTGGCCAGCAGCCGGTGAATGAGGAGGGAATGTTGATGGAAATGTAGTCATAGAAGTTGGTGGGGCTTCTGGATCATGACACCCTGTGGGCCTTCACAGGAATCTCATGCCAGGCCCAGTGGGAAGCCTTAGGGGGGCTTTAGGCAGGGGAGTGATAAAATTCAATATTTGTTGAGTGCTTACTCTCTTCCAGGTGCTGGGATGGGCATGAGTATGGTGGTGAACAGGACAGAATGTTGAATAAATAGGATTCAGCTCTTCAGTGGTAGGAAATAAGAGCATCCTCAGTTTATTTTTGTGCATGTTGGCATGTATTTGTGTCGTATTACTGACTTACTTAAACATATTCTTAATATGGAAGTAGCAAATGTTCATTAAAGAATAATTAGAAAATTCAAACTGAAAGAATGCCTATCTTTCAAGATCCTACCACTTGGAAATAATGACAATTAGCATTTAGTGGTCTTTTATTTCCTTCTAGTCTTTTGAATGGATTTATGATCAGATAGTTCTCAAGTTCAATAACGAGTGACCTCCTCATCCCCCAAAACCGTCAAAGAAACAGAAGTGAGAGTCATAGGTTTTCTTTTGGCGAGTCAGTGGGTGAGTCTTCTCATTCATTCCTTTCAGGTGGAGCTTATCAGAATAATGTTCAACATCAACCCCCTGGAGAACCTGAAGGTGTACATCAGCAGCCGGCCCCCCTTGGTGGTCTTTATGATCAGTGTAAGCGCCATGGCAATAGCTTTCCTGACCTTGGGCTATTTCTTCAAAATCAAGGAGATCAAGTCACCAGAAATGGCAGAGGTATAGTAAATTCTAAGTTCTCCTCTCAGACTGGCTGGACCTTTATAGAGTGGGAAAACACCTTTTGGCTCTCCACATACCTTTCTTTGGTTGTGACTTTTATCCTAGTGAGAAAGAGTAATATTTATTCAGAATTTTTGGTCTTCCATCTTGCTGTGACTCACTTTGTTAGGAAATAACCTAGTCAGATAGTTATTGATTTAAATAATGCTACCAGCTTTAGACTGTTTCAGCAATGAAACATGTATTTTGGAAAATATATTTGTAAAATGTTTGTGTCAAGAAGATCAAGAACTAACTTCTTTGCTATTCATATTAAATTAGCTAACTACAATTTTTAAAAACTGTAAACATTTTTTTTTTTTTTTTTTTTAAAGACAACTCTTTTTTTTTTTCTTTTTTTTGGTTGCATTGGGTCTTCATTGCTACATGTGGGCTTTCTCTAGTTGCGGTGAGCAGGGGCTACTCTTCGTTGCAGTGCGTGGGCTTCTCATTGCGGTGGCTTCTCTTGTTGAGGAGCACGGGCTCTAGGCTCACGGGCTTCAGTAGTCATGGCACGCGGGCTCAGTAGTTATGGCTCATGGGCTTAGCTGCTCCGCGGCATGTGGGATCTTCCCGGACCGGGGCACGAACCCGTGTCCCCCGCATCGGCAGGTGGACTCTCAACCACTGCGCCACCAGGGAAGCCAACATTCGTTATTTTAAAGCCATATATTGTCATGGAGTTTTGTCAGCTGTACTGATAGCTTCTTCATTGGAGAAGAAGAAATTCTAAAGAAATTAGAAAGCAGGATCTTATTTCCAAACATATTTGTCTTTTTCTTATCAAGGAAAGCTTCAGTAATCTATAAACTTGCCTTCTAGATTTTATTTTTTGGTCAGTTTAAATGAATTATTTGGGCATTGCTCTTTAATCGCTAGTCTAGGCATATAATAGTTTTTGAACAGTCATAATACAGATTTTAAAAGATGTGTGTGGGACTTCCCTAGTGGCACAGTGGTTAAGACTGCCTGCCAGTGCAGGGGACACAGGTTCGAGCCCTTGTCTGGGAAGATTCCCACATGCCGCGGAGCAACTAAGCCCATGTGCCACAGCTACTGAGCCTGCTCTCTAGAGTTCGCGAGCCACAACTATGGAGCCTGCATGCCACACCTACTGAAGCCTGCACGCTTAGAGCCTGTGCTCCGCAACAAGAGAAGCCACCGCAGTGAGAAGTCCACACACCACAACAAAGAGTAGCCCCGGCTCACCACAACTAGAGAAAGCCTGCATGCAGCAACGAAGACCCAATGCAGCCCAAAATCAAAAATATCATAAAATAGGGCTTCCCTGGTGGCGCAGTGGTTGAGAGTCCGCCTGCCGATGCAGGGGACACGGGTTCGTGCCCCGGTCTGGGAGGATCCCACATGCCGCGGAGTGGCTGGGCCTGTGAGCCACGGCCGCTGAGCCTGCGCGTCCAGAGCCTGTGCTCCGCAGCGGGAGAGGCCACAGCAGTGAGAGGCCCGCGTACCGCAGGAAAAAAAAAATCATAAAATAAATTTAAAAAGTGTTTCTGCATATCAGAAAACAATACAAAGTTGATAATCTTGTTTAATAGAGACGAATAACAATATACCTATTAATAAATTTATGTGTTAGAAATTATGCTGAATCAATGATATGGTGAATTTACTGGTGGATAAGTGTCTTTTAGGACAAATTAGTTCCCATCTTAGATGCTGTGTCTTCTCTTACACTTTTTCTTCTTGGATGTGTTCGTTGGTGAGAGTGGGCATGGGGGCGGAGATAGGGATTGCATTATTGTTGCATCGTGTGTGCCTTGTGACGAAGAGGAGAGTTTTGCTCAGTGTTATGGGGATTGTGCTTCCTCTTGTGCTCTGTGGCAATCTAGATCATCGGTGATGTTAGCAAGAAGAGACCACCTTCCCACATTAAGTCTCTAATACAAAGTAACAAGTTTTAGCTGTTTCTCCTGTGAAACCCTCCCAAAGAGTTTCTTACCAAGATAACTACTGGCTGGCTTAATTCTCCCCCTTTTCTGACCCTGCCTGAATCTTTAAAGGTTATCGAAACAGGCTGTACCTACATTAGGGCTGAAAATGAACATTCTAGTCTCAACCAAAGTTCTTCAGTATCCTGGCATTGCTCTCCCTCAAAGCTCAAGTCCATGTTGAACACGTGGCCAAGGTCAATGGTTAAGATGTAGCCTGGGGCTTCCCTGGTGGCACAGTGGTTGAGAGTCTGCCTGCCGATGCAGGGGACACGGGTTCGTGCCCCGGTCCGGGAAGATCCCACATGCCGCGGAGCGGCTGGGCCCGTGAGCCATGGCCTTCGAGGCTGCGCGTCCGAAGCCTGTGCTGCGCGACGGGAGAGGCCACAACAGAGGCCCACGTAAAGCAAAAAAAAAAAAGATGTAGCCTGGATAATTAGCCCTTAATCAAAATGGGGCCTGACATTGGCCTTGGCCAGCTGTTCAAAATGGACTCAAACTCTGCAGGAAAGCAGAGCTGCAAGATGCTGCAGAACTTTGATTATGATTAATTTAGTGATTGTATTTTCAAATGGGGAAATGTATGGGGAAAGTTTGGCGCAGTGAATCAGAAAACAGTTCTAAGTCTGCCTTCAACTCAGCTGGCATTGGAGAGTCCCTGATTTGCTCTGGGCCTCAGTTTCCTCATGTCTGGAATAGGAAGGGGTGAGACTAGGATGTTCATTTTCAGCCCTAATGTTCTTTAATGGTCTGCTGAGTTTGTAGGTTTCAGGGAAAATGTAATTTGAAATATCTGCTTGTCTTCTTACTAAATGCCAGATACTGATAAACTGAGGCTACAAAGGTAGACCTGACTGGCTAGGGATTACTCCAAATGGCGTTTTTAATCAATGTTAGAGTTATTCAAAATGTAACTTGGGGCTTCCCTGGTGGCACAGTGGTTAAGAATCCGCCTGCCAATGCAAGGGACACGGGTTCGAGCCCTGGTCCGGGAAGATCCCACATGCCGTGGAGCAAGTAGGCCCGTGTGCCACAACTACCGAGCCTGTGCTCAAGAGCCCGCAAGCCACAACTACTGAGCCCATGTGCCACAACTGCTGAAGCCTGCATGCCTAGAGCCCATGCTCCGCAACAAGAGAGCCATGACAATGAGAAGCCCGCATACCGCAACAAAGAGTAGCCCCCTCTTGCCGCAACTAGAGAAAGCCTGTGCGCAGCAACGAAGACCCAACACAGCCAAAAATAAAAACAAACAAATTTTTTTTTAAAATGTAACTTGGGGCTTCCCTGGTGGCGCAGTTTTTAAGAATCCGCCTGCCAATGCAGGGGACACAGGTTCGAGCCCTGGTCCGGGAAGATCCCACATGCCGTGGAGCAACTAAGCCCACGCGCCACAACTACCGAGCCTGTGCACTGGAGCCCACGAGCCACAACTACTGAAGCCCACATGCCTAGAACCCATGCTCCTCAACAAGAGAAGCCACCGCAATGAGAAGCCTGCGCACTTCAACGAAGAGTAGCCCCCGCTCGCCGCAACTAGAGAAAGCCTGCTTGCAGCAATGATGACCCAGCACAGCCAAAACTAAAATGAATGAAATAAATAAATTTATTTTAAAAAAATGTAACTTGGTTTGTCTTCACCTTTGGCACCTTTTTGTAGATAATGTTGCTTGGGAGAAAGAAGTTGTATGTAACAGCCTCAGTTGATTTGTTATTGCTATTTTAGCCTGAGTTCATCTTTGGGTGTCTGCTAAAACTAAAAACACACCCTGGTGGGTACTTTGTTGGTGTCAGTTTTAAAACTGCATATAATTCAAACCATCAGTACAGATATTAAGAGAAGCCTGAAAACATCTTTTCTCCTCCCTTTTGAAATTGTTCCTGTTCTAAAGTGGCATCCGAAGTCCATGACGAGGGGGGAAAGCACCACACGAGTGTTGGTATTTACTGCAATTTTGCATTCCCAAGACAGAAAGCAAGGTGTAGAAAATTGACCTTATGAGAAAATATTTTATGGCGGCCTTAATTTTTAAAAAATAACTAATTGTAACTGCTAAATGAGTTTGGATTAATACTTTTAATGTTTTACTACTTTTGTTCAAGCTTTCTTTTCAAGCTTGATTCTGAGGCTAGATCATTTCCTGTAAGTTTAATACCCTTTTTTTCTTTACATATTTTCCTGAGTAAGTTGGCTTAATCTCACAGTGTAATAGCTTATGCCAATGAAGAGTTTATATTTTATATTTTGAATGTGCGAGTGGTTGAAAAACCACACTATTACGCCAGCACAAGAGGCTGAAGGCTGTGTTGTTGTATTTTGAAGGACTGACTCTGAGGCATGGTTCCCCTGTTGTGTGACGCCACACCGGGGGTTGTGACTGTCACTGCACTGGAAGCACTTTCAGTCGGCTCAGGCTTGTTTTCCTCTCTCTTGTTTTACTGAAGGATTGGAATACTTTTCTGCTGCGGTTTAATGATTTGGACTTGTGCGTATCAGAGAATGAAACACTAAAGCATCTCACAAACGACACCACGGCTCTGGAAAGCACAGTGACCAGTGGCCAGGCCAGGATGTCCACCCAGTCCCCACAGTCCCTGGAGGATTCAGGCCCAGTGAACATCTCAGTTGCAATCACCCTAACCCTGGACCCACTCAAACCCTTTGGCGGGTACTCTCGCAACGTCACCCATCTGTACTCGACTGTTCTCGGGCATCAGATTGGACTCTCAGGTATGTGAGTGTTAGCCACTTCTCTCCAGGCTTTCTCAGGTAACAGCTGTTACAACACAGAGCATTAGAGTGTACGGTTTTACTCATCAGACTTTTTTATTTTTTGTATATGTCTTCCTTTTTGTTGAGTTTGAACTAAACGAAGCCAAGAAGGGACCATTTCTACTACATCTTCACCTGTTAAAGTGTTTGGTATGCAGTAGGCTCTCAATAAAAGCCCATAAGAGTAGGAGACTGGGAAAAAATTATAAGGCCTATTTCTGGTCTTAGTATTTAAAAACACATTTAAAAATTTTTGAGTTTTAGTATAGTTGATTTACAATGTTGTTAATTTCTGCTATACAGCACAGTGACTCACTTATATATATTCTTCATATTCTTTTCCATTATGGTTTGTTACAGGATATTGAATATGGTTCCCTGTGCAGGACCTTGTTTATCCATCCTGTATATAATAGTTTGCCTCTGCTAATCCCAATTCCCAGTCCATCCCTCCCCCACCAGCCCACCCCTTGGCAACCACAAGTCTGCTCTCTATATCTGTGAGTCTGTTAAAAACACCAATTTTTTATTCTGGCTCATCATTTTGGAGTTTTCAGTACATACTACAGATATTGATACGACTCTTAAAATTTTATGAATGCACTGGGCTAAAAACTAGAAAAAGCCTGGTCTCTTCCCTTTGGAATTTTGGGATATGGAAGAGACAAGCATAACGTGAGTTAATATTCATCAAGCACTTAAAATAGTTCCTGGCACAAAGGAAATGCTATATAAATGCTTATTAAATAACATTAAAAATAAACACTTATGGAACATTGAGCACTGCCCTTGGACTAGTACTAAACCCATGACAGACTGTAGGTGATTCAGGAGAAGGTTGGAAAGTAGTAGAAGCTGTAATAATCAGGAAAGGCTTTGTGCCAGAGGCTTGGGCCTTGGAAGAATCACCTTTGGTTTGTTTACCAAGAACCTTTTAAAGTCCTTGAAGGAACTTGGGAGTGCCTGCCAGCCTCCTGTTGGCTGTACCAGGTGAGAGCTGTTCCCATGTAAGGAGGTAAGGGCGACATCTGGGTTTTCCACGTAGCAAGTGGACCTTTTTCTTCAGCTGTGACGTTCGAATACCTTATTCATTTACGCTTCATCACTCACCTGTCTCATGACCTTTCTTAAGTCTGTTCAGCTCTCTGATGCTCAGTCTACTCGTTTGTAAGAGGGAACAGTAACACTTCCTTGGTCGTGTTCGTAGGTTAGTGGTGCATCTTAAGGGAAGCAGCACATATAAAAGCAGCTTGAAAATGGTAGAGTGCTGTACGAACGCTGTGGCAATGCTGACGACTTACCCAGCCCCAGCCTTCCCACTCAGCCATGGCCTGGGCCCTTGCGTGGCAACTCCAGGCCTTGGCTGAAAGGGACCCCTCTCCGTTTGCCATTTTGTGGCTCTGCCAGGTGAGCGGGCCTCAGAGTCTGGCTCAGAACTGCTGTTATTCCTGAAACCCCACAAAAGCAGGGGTCCCACCTCAGTGGGCTGATAGGTGATTCCTGGGTGGGTTTGATGTCAGGATTCATTCAGATTCCAGAGAATCATAAATGTATGAATTCTCGCTTTACTTACCAAAAAACCAATTTCTCTTTGCAGGCAGAGAAGCCCACGAGGAGATAAACATTACCTTTACCCTGCCCACAGCCTGGAGCTCGGACGACTGTGCCCTTCACGGCCACTGTGAGCAGGTGGTGTTCACAGCCTGCATGACCCTCACAGCCCACCCTGGCGTGTTCCCTGTCACCGTGTAAGTACTTTCCTGACCCCATAAGAAGCTCCATTTACCGTAAATGTGACTGGGGTGCCTGAGCAAATTCTCAGGACAGCTTGCTTCGTGTTACTTTGTAGAATTGTCATCACTGGGACCTGTCTATAGGATTGTTTCAGTTTAATTTGGTTTTCTAAAGGTAAAACTTCTGCACAGAAGTATCAGAGGGTTAGTGTTTCGACAAGGTTGTGAAAGCATCTGGTTGCTGTGTGTAGGTTTAAGGTGGCCTTTCCTGTTGGTAGAAGCCGCCACAGGAAAGATGAATAAGAGCTGATCCCGTGACCATAATGACATTTAAGGCTCCTGAAAGATAAAGGTTTTGTTCGTCTCATCATCCAGGAAGAGTTATTTTTTAAATTGATAGTATAAATTGAACCTTATTTTCCGTGATACAGTTACTGCTTCTGAAACTTTTGCTTCATATTTGATTTTTTTTTGCAGTACGCGGGCCTCTCACTGTTGTGGCCTCTCCCGTTGCGGAGCACAGGCTCCGGACGCGCAGGCTCAGCGGCCATGGCTCACGGGCCCAGCCGCTCCGCAGCATGTGGGATCTTCCCGGACCGGGGCACGAACCCGTGTCCCCTGCATCGGCAGGCGGACTCTCAACCACTGCGCCACCAGGGAAGCCCTGCTTCATACTTTTTTTGAGCAGCTGTCAGTGTAACCGCTTTGCCTTTAAGGCTTTTCTTGCCCCTCCTTTCTCTGGAAAGGAGATAATGATCTATAATTACGTGAAATACACAAGATGTAGCCTATTTAAAAGAATCTTAGGGTGAATCCTTTTAAAATAATTATCCTGGGATTTATCTATTTTAGACATTTGGAGGTTTGTAGGACAAGTTAAGCATTATTTGCTGTTGGTTGTAATATCTGATAGAGAACTTTGTATGTAGAACTTCCAGTTGTGACTAAGAGTTTAGATAATTTGAGAAAATGGGCTTAAAAGGAACGAGTCCTTCTCTGGCCACATCATATGCAAGTGGACGTGGGTTGAATTCTGAAGGCAGAAGTCTAACACCTAGACTCCTAAGTGCCGGATGCCTATTTCTTATTCTTTACGTGTTTATTAATTTTTTTTAAAAAATTGGGCTTCCCTGGTGGCACCGTGGTTGAGAGTCCGCCTGCCGATGCAGGGGACACGGGTTCATGCCCCGGTCCGGGAGGATCCCACGTGCCGCAGAGCAGCTGGGCCCGTGAGCCATGGCCGCTGAGCCTGCGCGTCCGGAGCCTGTGCTCCGCAATGGGAAAGGCCACAACAGTGAGAGGCCCGCATACCGCAAAAAAAAAAAAAAAAAAAAAAATCACTGAACTAAAAATATAATGGTATTTATCTCAAGAGAATGTTTCTTATTTCTCCCTTCTGCACGTGTGGCTCTTCTTGGTGCTATGCCAGTGCCGGTGGCTGAGACACAAGTAAATGTCTCAAGGCCACTGAGCATGTGTCTTGCCCCACCTTCTCCTGCAGACAGCCTCCGCACTGTGCTCCTGACACCTACAGCAATGCCACGCTCTGGTACAAGATCTTCACAACTGCCAGAGATGCCAACACAAAATATGCTCAAGACTACAATCCTTTCTGGTGTTACAAGGGGGCCATTGGAAAAGTCTATCATGCTTTAAATCCCAAGCTTACAGTTATTGTTCCAGATGTAAGTGAGAACAGTCGTGTGTGTGTGTGTGTGTGTGTGTGTGTGGGTGGGTGGGTATGTGTGTGTGTGTGTGTGGGTGTCCAGGAACTGTTAGAGCAGTCCCTGTTTACCTCCTTGGGTTAGCTTAGCCCCTACCATTCTAGCTGTCCAACTGGGTTGGGAGACCAGGTGGAGTGCTGGAGACTTGGAAAAACATGCCACCCATTGGGTTAAGAAAATTGCTTCTGTTCCTTGTTTTCTGCTTTGTTCAACAGCAGTTATTTATTGAGCACTGCTATGTGCCTAACCTGGGGCTACAGCAGAGGCTGGTTCTGTCTTACTCATCCACGCAGCCATTCACTGAAGCATATTGGGTTAGTGTCAGTCTGAGCAATAAACAGTTCCGAATTCAGAGAGGCAGAAGTCAATAGGAGGAAATGACTCTGGCTAGATATTGATGCCTGTGTAGGATTTTACTTTGCAAGGAGGAAATGGGCGGAAGGCACTGTACTCCGGACTAGTGGATGATTTGCTAGTTTAGTTTGCTGCTCCGACTTGAGCCCACTTTTAACAGACTGCACTGACTTCTTGTAAATCCTCTTTTCTTCTGTCCGTATACGCCAGGTGGATTTTTCTTTTTGCCTGGTCCTTCTCTTTCCTTATTCCTCGTTTTTATCAAGTTGTGGACAGTGGTATACCAGGGGCCTGCAGGAGCGAGCAGTGGGGATCAGGCTGTATGGTGGGCAGGGGCCAGGCTCCAGAAGGCCCTTTGTGCCTCGCTGAGGTGTTTAGACTTTCTCCTCGGACGAGGCCATCGCTGCCTGAGTTTGGGCTCTAGGGAATTTGTAGAGCAGTGTGTCAGGAAGACTGGTCTCTGCCCGACTGATGTGTGTAAATAGGATGGCGCCTGAGGCCTGGAGCTATGAGAAGGAACAGGAGTGGGGGCCTGGCTGGGATCTCAACAACTGGCCGGGCCCGGTGGCTGCTTGCCTGTGGGACATCAAGGAGGAGTGAGTCAAGGCCGGCTTCATTGTTTCCAGCCACTGGCTTGTCCCAGTGGGGATAAGGCCCAGGAAGGATGCAGCCTCTCAGGGGAGGAGTTAGGAACACAGGCTTGGGCTGTCAGCCGTGCAACCTGAGGGCTGTCAGAGCAAGAGGACATAAAGAGAAGAGCAGGGGTTAAAGACTCTGGGGCCTTGTCAGGGGCGGGGGGGATTCGGGCATAGGACCCCCTTAGGAAGGGAAGGAAGGTATGGGTGGTGTCGGGAACACCCTGTCTTCACTTAACAAGCTCCAGCGTTAATAGTTTAACTGTCAATGCCCATGTGAGAATTGATAGTTGAGGCAAGTCAGGAAGTTGTGCACCCTGATTCCAGGAACCCAGCATTAAAATCCTCAGTAACTCAGTGCAGATGTTTCTGGTTTATTCTGTTTAGGATGACCGCTCGTTAATAAACTTGCACCTCATGCACACCAGTTACTTCCTCTTCGTGATGGTAATAACGATGTTTTGCTACGCGGTTATCAAAGGCAGACCCAGCAAACTGCGTCAGAACAATCCTGAATTTTGTCCTGAGAAGGTGAGCAGTGGGTGGGGTCTGAGCCAGCATTGCACCAGAAAGTCCCAATTAGTCCTTATTCCATTTATTGTGGGTGATTCCTTTCCTCCAGAGAAATTACTTCCTGTCTTTTTATCAGTAGTCATCTCCCCTCAGCCTCAATTATGGTGTTGCATCTTCAACCATATACCCAGGCCTCAGCTGGGAAAAAAGTGTTCTCAGATCCCCACTGGCAAGCGGCTGACCCTGAGGGCTGCCTCTCCTCCGATTCCGCGAGCTTGAGAAGCCACCTCCCAGAATGCTCATCCGGGTTTCCAGACACATAACGCTGTATCGCAGGACAGTGGTTCTGCAGGGTCAGCTGCGTCTTGCAGGAGGCTCAGATTTCTATTCATTCCCTCCTAGATGAGGTCTATTTTCTTAGGGGTTTAATAGTTCCCCTGACAGATGTGTGTGGTGTGGCTCCCTGGGTTTGGGATAGGACCAGAACCTGGTAAGAGTGCTGGTGGGGCCGAGTTATCCAGGCTTTGCTGCGTGACTGGGCTGCCGTCTTGCTCTCTTGTAGGTGGCTTTGGCTGATGCCTAATCCCACGGCTGCCGTTTTCTGAGAGAGACTGAGAGAACCATAATCATTGCCAGCTGAACCCAGCCTGGGCCTGGACACTCTGTGAATACATTATCTTGCAATGTTGGGTTATTCCAGCCAAAGACATTTCAAGTGCCTGTAACTGATTTGTATATATTTATAAAAAATCTGAACCATAATCATTGCCTGCTGAACCCAGCCTGGGCCTGGACACTCTGTGAATACATTATCTTGCAATGTTGGGTTATTCCAGCCAAAGACATTTCAAGTGCCTGTAACTGATTTGTATATATTTATAAAAAATCTGTTCAGAAATTGGTCCAATGATGCACGTGCTTCGCACTGGGCACCGCCAGAACCCTTCAGCCTCACCTGCGGACTTGGCGGGATGATCCTGAGTAGCGCCGGAGAGGATTCGTGACCTCGCCGTCGGAGCAGGCCATGCTGTCTTTCCCAGGGTCCCAGAGGCGCTTCACTGCTGGTGGGGTTGAGGTTTGCTTTGGTTCTTGTTTCAGCCCGATCTGTACAGAATGTTCAAAACAGTCTGCACCTTTGATATGATACTGCATTTCCAAAGCCACCCCAATCCATTTTGTGGATTTTATGTGTCTGTGGCTTAATAATTATAGTAACAACAATAATACCTTTTCCTCCATTTTGCTTGCAAGGAAACATACCTATCTTTCTAAGTTTTTTTTCCTTTGAAGAAAAAATAGTCACATTTTAATACTATAATTAAGACAGATTTGTGCTTTTATCTTGAGTAAAAAGTTAAATATTTAAAAGTCACCTACATGGTACAGATCTAAGTTTCATTTTCCACGCGGACAGCGAGGAATTTGGTCTTGTTTGAGTTGAGTTGGCACAGAATGTTCCACTGTCTTTTTCTTCTCTGTTGTCCCTTCCCTCCATTATAAAAGTTGAAAGAGCTTCCTCGCTCGAGAGGGCTTAACAATGAAGTACACAGGGCTCGAGAGTGAAAACGAGCTGTTCTTTTCTGGAATGCAGATGACAGCATGGAGAGAGAGGGTGAGGAGTCAGTCTAACCGTTATGACAGGGTTTCTTGTTTTCTTTGAAGAGGGGGTGGGTTTTCTTTCCTGGGTGTTTTTTGGGTTTTTTTGCATTTATTTTTATGCAATTAACATTCTCAGAAGTAAATGGCAACTAGTAGTAGATCAGTAACATTAAGTAAACGATGCCTGTGAAATTTGAAGGAAAGCGATTCTGATTTGCCATTTATCGGGAAAACCAAAAGCATTTTTCTTTCCTATAACATTTTGATGATCTAATTCCTTTTTCCCTGTTTTCCTTCCAAACCATCTTCATTTTAAAACAGTTGTGCATCTTTTCCAGCCCTTTCTTGTTAGGTGTATTCTTACCATTTTTCTTTTTCTTAATAGCTTTTTGCCTTAACTCGTAGTCATTAATGATTTCTGTGTTCTCCCAAGCCATGTTATAGCAGAAGGGCAGTTAAAACCTTGGGCGCAACTGTCAGCACTTCTTTCTCTTAACTCCAGGTCTGTATTCTGTTCTAAATTAGAACCAGCCCTGCAGTCTGAAATATATTGGCCTAGAACATTTTATCCCAGGCTTTTTTTTTTCTTTTAATATCCAGGCATTCTTAAATGGAAAACATTTTCACTGAAGGTTGTTATTAAAATAATCATCATAGTAACTTGATATGTTAATATTCCTTTTTTTCCTTTTAGTACGTTTCAAGCACAGTAATCATACTTGTCTATCCAGTTTTTTTATGATATGAGTTGCTTACATGATGCATGGCTAACCGTTTAATTTAGTTTTCTCTTTAGAGACTTTGAGACAAGATTGAGAAAGAGCCATTTGGCTTGGCCTTTAGAAACATCAGTATCACTAAGACCAACAGATTTTAGAGGAAGCTGCTACTGAATTAACAAAATCCCCATGAAGTAGAGTCACAGGAATAGGTTTAGAACTGGCAGAGTGACCTAAAAGGAAGACGGGTGAGAAAAGTCACTTTCACTGGTTTGTTCAGTCCAGCTTGTTGCTAACATTAATGGCCCTTGTTTTAATCACAGGGACTGGCTGGCATCTGTAGCCAGGGGAGCAGGGACACTGTTTGTTAGGCATGAGGAAAGGAAGTGCCAAAAATGCCTGGATGGTATGACTTGTCATGAGGTCAGGTCACTCACTTTAAAATCCAGCATTCTCCCTCGCAGGTGATTTTCAGAGATCTTCCGGAAACCCAGCGTCAGCCAGGTGTACAAAGGGAGGAGGGGAGCCCGTGGGGCCTGGGCCCACTGACCCTCAGCAAGCCCAGAGGACCTGTTATTACCTGGGCACTAGCAGACAAGGCCTCGTCCTCTGCTGTCTCCTGCTGGGAGGCCTCAGGATGAGAAGAGTGTCACAGACAGGGTCTGTCTGCCATTCAGGGGTGACCCCGTGCAGGAACACTGGCTCATCCTCAGGCATCTTGGACCAGAGTCCAATAAAAGGTCAGCAACTTACTATTAAAATGGTTGTTTCAGATCATATTGATCTCTTTCCTTTTTCCTTTTGTCCTTTCACTGTATGACTTGAATCAGTTTTGATTCTATCTATCTGTAAGTTTTTCTCGTCATTAGGAACCTGCCACTTCGGTTGCGTTTTCTTTGGCAGTACGTAGGGATTCAGCATCCTAGTTTTTCAACCCTCCTGCAGGCACTGTGGGGTTTTGAGGGCCAGCGAATCCATTTCACTTACCTTGCTGCATGATGGTCAGTAGCTGATCTGTTACGGCATTCACTCCCAGATTAATTTTCTGTGTTTGAAATATGTGCATATGTGCTTTCCAGAATAAAAAATCTGAATTTGCTGTGTCTCCATTTCCTTCTGTCTGATGGGTGTTTTCTAAGGGAAGAACACGTGCGGTAAGTAATTGGGGGTGTTTTGTAAGCTGTTCTTTCCAAGTGTCACCCGTCGTCAGGATGGGCGCGGGCAGTGGTATCCTTCTGGGTCTCACCAAGCACACGGGTCTTCTCCCTGAGAGTACAAACCTCTTTTACTGTATTGGACCAACAAGTGCTCGCAGAGCTGACCCAACTCCTGCCCGGAAGGAGGACGTAATACAGAGCGTGAGGAGCATCTGCATGGGGATGGGAGTTTAAAGACACCCTTCTTGCTTATACACGCGCCCTCCATGTGCACTCAGCCCGGGTCTCCAGAAGCTGGCTCTGACTTCCCGGCACAGAGCTCCTGCATGGGCCGGGCCTCTTTTGCCAGGAAATGCATCCTCCGCATTTGTAAAGGGCAGTCATGTTCACTAATGTGAATTTTTCCCTTTCCCAGTGGGCAGGGGCTCTGTGGCTCTTCCCTCCCTCGCTCTCCAGCAGGGGCCGGGTGGTAGGGGCCAGCCTCTGGGTGCTCTGTGGGACAGGACAGTGCTGAGGACGGGACACCTCAATGGGCTTTTGCTTCTACCTCCTTCGCCTCGTCCTGCTGTCTCTAGTGCGTGGAACGCTGCTCCTTCCTCGGACTCGGAGGTTTGTGTGTGGTGTTTCCATCGCGATGCAGAAGCCCTTGGAGAATAAGAGCTCACATCTTCCTTCCCTACCGTCTGTAAAATCTGACATGGACCCAGCCCACAAGTCCATTTGGAGATGGTGCTTTGTAAGCACCTCTTTGTCCTGGTGGGTGCACTGTGCCTGAAGGTCCTCGGACGCGCCCACTGTCCTTGCGGATTTCAAGAGAAGCGGAGTGAATGCACAGACCCGAGGTGTGCTGTGGAGTCCAGTCCAGCTCATTGTGAACTTATTTGCTGTCTTGAACAAACTCTCTGCCCATCTGTGAGAGCCCATCTTTTTTTTTTGTCGCTGAAGACCCCAAACTCCTTATACCATGCTAGTTGTTGATGATGGATGAACTAGAGTGGTTTGACCATTTCAGGAGCAGATAGCAGGTTGAAGGGGGTTAAGTTTTGCTTTTGAGGTTATTCACCCTCTTTACTCCAAACTCTTGGTCACTCAATAACAAATTTTTCTGGGGTTCTTCGTATGTGCCATCATCCATCTAGGAGCTAGAGGCACAGCAGCACATAGACAAAATGCCTGCCCTCTGGTACGTCCTTCTGGTGGGGGAGATAGTCCATACACACAGAAATATATTTATAATCTCATGGCAGCCAGTGATGAGATAAAGAGGGTTACCTGGATGAGGATGATGGCTGTGACACCTCAGCTGCGGTGGTCGCAGCAGCCATATTGAAAGAGGTGTGCTTTGAAGGCACACACAAAGTGGGGAATTCTGGTCTCGAGCATTCCATGCGGAGGGCAGAAACTGTACTCCTGGGGCCCTGGCTTACTACGGGGTGGAGGATGGGAGTCCTACAGGGATTTGTCTTCCTACCTGAGGACAAGATTCCTCCAGGCTGCTGACGGGGTGGCCACACAGGCATGGCAGGCCACAGGCTCTGCAGGGAGATGCTGCAGCGCCGTCTGGTCCAGGAAGGGCGTTCTCAGGGCTGGAATTGGCGTGGCAGGTCCAAACCCCGGCTCCAACTCCGACGGGCCACATAACTTTGACTGAGTGGCTTAACCTCTCTGTGCCTGTTTCCTCATCTGTAAAATAAGGATAACAGTACCCACTTGAATGCAGTGAGGATTGAGCAGGTTTTTTTGTTTTGTTTGGGTCATTTTGGGCCACACCGTGCGGCTTGTGGCATCTTAGTTCCCTGACCGGAGATTGAACCTGGGCCCTCGACAGTGAAAGCACGGAGTCCTAACCACTGGACCGCCAGGGAATTCCCAGGAGCAGGTTAACAAAGCGCTTCGAACAGTGTGTGGCGCTCTGGAAACATTTATTTTAACAGTGTGCTGTGGAGGGTGTCCAAGAGCAAGGCTAGTGGGTCACCTCTGGTTACCTTTGGTAGATGAGAACTAACAAAGCAAAGAGATCTCCTCTAAGCTCTAGTCTTCCATCAACAGTGGTGTTGTGTTTGCAGTGGATTCCTGTCATTTGCTGAAGTATTTGAGAACTGATGCCT